CTCGGGATGGGAAGGGAAGAGGGCAGGCTTGCCAGACTTTCGCCCGCTTGGTCCCTCCCTTTGGGACAGAGAAATTGGATACGGCTAAACGCTTCGCTCCGCATCACGACCAAAACGGGACGCTTCACGCAAGCCCTCTCTCTACGCACAAGAGCGTGAGGGGAGAAGGATCAAAGTGCAAGTCGCATATGATTCGCGTGAAAGATTTGTAGAGTGAAACGTGAATGCATGTGGGAGGGTTGTGTTGTGTACATTTTTGGCGTCGCTCGTGTCAAGAATGACCAGTGACAGACCTATGACCAGCGAGCACCTATACTCGCTCGACTTGTGTAACAAATTGGCAAGTCATGTCGACTGCACGATTTGGCGTGTGTTAGTTGTTGCCCATTCAAGCCTTCAGGACGTATCGACGACGGTTGAAGTGAATGTCCTTCTTGTGCTGACGCTCGGTGACTTGAGTGCGCTCGTGCTGCGCGAAGTGTGAGAACAGGCGTCAGCAGCTCGTTCAGCGCACCGCCAGTCATGCGGATGCAGCCATGATCAGATTGATGTCCCCACGCGAACTAAATGCAGCCCTCGCAAAGCAGCCTCGCTTCCCACCTGCCATCGCATTCGACCCCCGGGCCTTCGCTAAAGCTATATGCGCTCCATCATCGTCCATCCCTTGCTCTTCGATCACTCACCTTGGTCAGACGGCGACGGATGGCACGGGTCTTCTTGGGGCGAAGGTCAAGAGGCAAGTACTTCTTTCCCTTGTAGTGTTCCCTCAAGCTAGCTCTAGTCTTGGCATTGATGACGGTTAGAACTCTAGCAATACCCTTCCTGACGCCCTTGATCTTGGCAAGCTTGTTGGAAGAGGCTCCAGCAACTTTTTGAACGCGGAGGCTGAGAAGCTCGCCTCGCAGCTCCTCTAGCTGAGAGGTCAGCTCAGCCTTGTTCTTGGTGGCCAGCTCGTGGGCTTTGACTCCTTTCGCCTGCGAATGGTAATGCAAAGTACGCGTCAATTCAGTGTACTGCAGCGTTGAATGCCCGACTTCGCACCAAAGGACTTTCAAGCATCGCAACTGCAATTCGCCCTTCCCGCCGTTCAACATACGCTCCACAATCCACTCCTGACCCTTCGTACGGCCACCAGGTACTCCTACCTCCCGTAGGCAACTCCGTTTCGCACCCTCTTGAATGTCAAGCAAAGTCCTGCGACGCAACACTTGTCTGGCGACGACTTGAGCGCCACTGTCGCGACCTGTACAGGCTAGTTTTCACATATCGCTACTGCCACCCTTTCCGTCCTCCAAGCCATTCTTCTGCTACAGCGCTGGCAGCCTTGCTCTTATCGAGCTCTGCCACGGCTGCTTCGCCTAAGCGCGTGCCGCTCGTGCCACCATTGCCAAGAAATCTGAGCGTGTGCGCGTGGAGCACGCAGCATGATCGTGTTGAGAAAGATACTAACCATCTTGAATAGCTTTTGCCGGGTTGTTGGATAGGGTTGGTGAGGAATGAAGAGTCGTCGTGGTGCTTCGCTTCAGTTGACGGATGGATTTGGTCTGTGAGTGTGCTGGAGCGGGCGCGCATGCAAGTCGAGCTTGGATTTCTTCGACCTCATACGTCCACGTGG